AGATAGATAGATAGATAGATAGATAGATAGATAGATAGATAGATAGATAGATAGTGGCAGCAGTAGATTTTCCTCATAATAAGTTGTAATCATGTGTGAATGTGAACGTTACACAGCCCAGTTATGGTGGATTGACCACAGATTTCATCACATCAGGTAAATTATTGCTGCCTCCACCAGTATTTACACACAGTATTTGTTTTCTTTTTGAGTATTTACACAATATAAAAGTCACGAGATGTAATTTACAGATCTGTCCACCAGAGGGCGCCTGAACGGACGCACTACAGCGCATGCGTCAACTTTACAAAGTGATATAAAGATTTTTTTTACAAACGTTTTCGTGTTTTTTAGTTTGAATTGCGATGTTATTAAACAACTGAGCGATTTGTGACTCGTTAATCTTGTTAAGGAGCTAGCAAAACAGTTTCTAGCGCTATTTTACCGTAAAAGCGGAACTGTACCCATCATGCATTGCGCGTCATGTTGTAAACTTTTGTCTAAATAAATACATATTTTTAAAATGTTCTAAAAGTCATACATACGTTCTTGTGTGTTTTTGTAAAAGTATCGTTTTAAACACATTTATGCGACACAGATTTTGTGTCCAATCAGCGTCACCGTCACTGTGAGGTTCCTGTCCGGGACTCATCGGACCAGACCTCAGGGCTGCTCAGGACGTAAGTATCGCTTCAGGACGACGGGACTCCGGTCAGAGGAGCTTCACACAGGAAACCGCGAAAATAGTTCTGTTTTACGATCGTAAATCGGGAAACTCACGATGATTTGTAACCGTGAAGTTTGGATTTGGGTGGGCCTTATCATCCGTTTGGTGCTGCTATCCGGGAACCAGAACCAGAACCCGGACCGAAACCTACCGAACCGGTTAATATGGGTACTTTTCAATCCTTTGGACTGGATTCAAATTGGTCTAAGCTACGAGGAGCCGCATGGACCCGTGATAAGTTTCTATTTATTAGGTCAGAGGATCGCGACCGACATTTACGTAAACGATGTGTGGAGAAAACTCGCCGCGTTGAACGGTGAGGCCGCGAACGTGGAAGAACATGGCGCAAACGGCAGCGCCATCGCGAACGATGAAGAACATGGCGCAAACG